GCTTGACCAATTGTCAGATAGCAAATGATCCTTCTTAATTATCAACATAGACTTGTACTTTTTCCTTTTTCAATTATTCTTTGAACTGTTGAGAATGGAACACTATGGCTATCATTATCTTTCAGACCTGATACTCTCGATCCGGCACTTTTACGACCTGGAAGGCTGGATCGGAAAGTGGAATTCGGACTGCCTGATCTTGAAAGTAGGACCCAGATTTTCAAGATTCACACGCGAACTATGAATTGCGAGAGGGATATTCGTTTTGAGCTTCTTGCTCGCCTCTGCCCAAATTCAACTGGTAAAGATTTTTCTCTTGCACAGAAGCTCTGCTACAAATGTTATAGTTCAGCTTTTATAAATTGATATAATCACATAATGCATTTGTTTTTCTAATAGCACATTGGTGTATCATTCATCTGTGATAATTACAAAAATTACTGTTGAAGTTGAAACTCTATCAATAATCAACCTGATGACGGTGCATTGTGTTTTGTGTAGGAAGAAACAATATCAGTGTCGAATTATAATTTTGCGAGATAACTTGAGATTCTTGGAATTAGACTGAACATTCGGATAATTTTTTGTGATATCCCTTTGCATTTATGATGCATTCTGGTGGATATTATCCGGTAATTGATTGATTTTGCACGGGTGTTTTTTCTCCAGGAGCTGACATTAGAAGTGTATGCACTGAGGCCGGAATGTATGCTATTCGAGCAAGGAGGAAAACTGTGACCGAGAAAGACTTCTTAGATGCTGTCAATAAAGTTATCAAAGGTTATCAGAAATTCAGCGCGACTCCAAAATATATGGTTTACAATTGATTAAACTCTAGTGAGGAATCAAACAAAAGTTCTTGCTCGTCACTGTTGATGAACTTTGGATGTATTTTTTGAACTGGTGTTCAGAATATTCCCAGCAAACTTGTGTATTATATAAACTATACAATGTTTAGAGTTCACATTTTTTCTTGTCTTTCATTTCATGATATTATTGGTTGAATATGAATTTACTCTGATGGCACCAAATTTTCAGTTTTTATGTGAAACTGCATCTGTATTTGGTCCAACGGTTCGTTGGTTTTGTCATACACGTGTTCATTAGTTTAAACTCAATGTCGATGATATCCGCTAAAACCGGCCTTGCCCTATTTTTATCCTGTGTGGCGGTACTCACCTCCACTACTGTGGTAATGGCACAATGCGGAGGTAATTTTCAAGGCCTTGTGCAGAAATGCTCGAGGTATGTTCAGAAAACGGGCCCCAGAGAAAGCCCGTCTCAAGAATGTTGCAACGTTGTGAAAAATGTCGACTTGCCAAGAATGTTGCAACGTTGTGAAAAATGTCGACTTGCCGTGCGTGTGCTGGCACATAACGGGACAGGTTGAGCAGATAGTGAGCATGGAGAAAGCAGCCTATGTTGCAGCATTTTGTGGCAGACGTTTGCCAAAAGAGGCCTGATTAGTGTATTATGTACAAGTCAAAAGTCTCATGTTAAATATAAATAACAATGTAATTTTTTTTAAAAGGTAATTGATGCTTAAAAAAATATTAGTATGAACTACAATTCTCGAGTACTTTATTTCAGCACTGATTATTTCTGAGTACTTAATTCAAAAGCACATGTTGCACTTTGTTTTATTATGATGATTATTGAATTGATTTTATTCAGATCTGGTTGGTAACACCAAGTCAAATCTAGTGAATGATTATTTAATTCTATTCAGATTCTTCATTATTGAAGAGCAAAATTTAATTATTTAACCTGGCTGAGCAATTTACAAATTTATTAACATATAAAAAACAAGTGGACAAAAAACAAGAAAAAAAAGGGGAGTGGACCAAAATAATAATATTTATTAAGTTATAGAAAAATAAAAAACGAAAAACATATATATATAATAATCAATATTACTTAAATAAAAATCTTACATCATTCTCTGTCAGCCACGTTAATTGATCTCGGATAGCGGCTGTTCCCTTTCCGATGTGTTTCATATTTCTCCGTTCCACCCACCTTAAAAATCAAATTAAAAAAAAACCAAAAATTTTAATCACAAAATTTTATAGTAATTTGACATTTTAAGTATTAAATATAAATAAATGTGATTACCTTGCTCCTAAGGGACAACCTTGGACTCTGTCAAAGTTGGTATCCCTCATTTTTGGGCTAATACGAGGGATACGTTCCCATGCCCAAACCTACAGATATCGACATAAATATTTGGTTAATATATATTAGTATAATACGAGCGGGCAAGTGTGTTGGTCAGTCCATTCAGTTACTTCCCACAAATCATCATGTCGTCTGGACTTATTCACCCGAGCCTTCCACAGACAAGGCACATCTGAATCTGCATTCGATTTGCAGACCAGTTTGAATGTCTTCTGATTTGAATCTTTTGACCGAACCTCCCGCAACCTATCGACGTTCCAAGCCATTAGACCCGTTTGGGCTTCTTGCTTGCTCCGGAAAACTGTACCCAAACGTATGGTCTCAATGTCGCCATTCCACCGTGGAATAGCATACTCGTTCGCATCTATCCTGGACGGGTCCCATTCACCCATCTCGCGGTATATGTGCCGACCACCAATAGGAAATGGGTGTTCTTCTTCCATGAACTCGGCTTCACTCTCCTCATTAACCGATCTATCTGATTCGGTTTCTGAGGTCTCGTCTGTGAAGTCATCTTCACCGGGAATAAAATCTTCATCATCCTCATCCGCCGCCCATTCTCTCGATGTCCCTTCTCCAAAATTAGGTACATGAGAAGTCGATGTACCCTCGACATCAAACACTCCCCCGTAACAAGGAGTAAAATCCTCAAACTGTGTAACGGGTGTATTTGCCTGCAACGATAAATGCAAATACACATGGACATACTAGGAAAGTAATAAATCCATTCAAAACTATCGTTATTGAGTATTGCGGGATTCCACGAACCATCAGGTTGGCTAATCATCATAGTAATCTCCTGAATTGTCCAACCTTCTTCAAACTGACATTTTTCATTAATCATCTGTACCAACTGTTCATATGATATCCTCCCCGGAATTATAAATGAACCACTCGGACGATCTTTAAACGAAACAAAATCGTTTAACATTTCCTTCCCAAAATGCCAGTACAAATTAACAAGGTATGGACCGGGACCGGGATAGGCCATTTTATACCTGTTGCAAATAAACACTTTCAATTCTTTTTTAAAAAAAAACTCAATTTTTACTCTCCAACAAAAAATAAAAAATAACAAAAAATAGCCCCAATCAAATAATCATCCAAAACCATTAAACTCATAATCCAACAATAACATAAAATTCATCTATAATTCGGATAAATTTAAACCCCTAATTCTAACCCTAATTTCAGAAAACCCTAATCCCAACAACAACAAAACAATACACAATTGACAATTTACACACAAAATTTCAATCCTCAATTCAACATACACACATAATCCATAATCAATTAGCAATTTTCAATCTTCTAATACCACCACATTCAAACATATTATACCAATCCTCAATTTATAAACAACTTCAATTAATGTAAAAAGTAAAGATAAGACAATATACCTCGTGCGAATGAATTAACTGGAAATGAGACTCGTGCCGGTGTTGTCGGTTTACGCCGGGATGAAGATTGGATTGATTTTTTTTTCACGCTAAAAAATCGCTCTTCCCCTCTTTTTTCTTCGTTTTTGTTCGTGTTTCTGCGTGAATGAAGGAGAGGAAGAGAATTTTTTTTTTTTATATTAAACGTAAAAAACGTATTCTCAGAATACGTTTACCGACAATTTAATTGTAAAACGTATTCTGAGAATACGGTTTAATAAAAATATTAAAATTTTTCAAAAAAAAATTTTTTCCTCTTGAAACGTATTTTCATAATACGTTTTGCTTTAAAACGTATTTTCAAATTACGTTTTATAAAAATACATTTTAATTATTATTTGCATATTTTTTTTTAAAACGTTTTTTTTTTAAAAAAAATTAATTTTACTTTTTTTGTAAACCGTATTCTGGGAATACGTTTTCTTGATTAATTTTTTTTTAAGAAAACGTATTCTGAGAATACGGCTGTTTTGTTTTGGTCCACTCTTTTTTT